AACCATTTTCCCCCTCTATACATTCTTGATTAAACCAGCTTTCAGAAGTGAACTTTTGGTAGGGCAACTGTTTAGTTTTTACACTGCGGCTATGATTTTCTATCTTCATTTTTGCCCATGGGTACCACCGCTGTATACTGTATCTTAAGGGCCTTCTCTTAATGGGTCTCAATGGGTCAAGAAGTTCTTCACTATCTAGATTTTCAAGCTTTATCCCTTACAGCATGGATAATGTGGTCCTCTGACCACAATGTGGTCCTCTGACACCAGCCATTTTGGTTTATGGATCATCCATGTGGAAAAATGTATCAGCTGAAATATGTTTTCTAATTTTGCCTCTGCTGAACATGGCTTTATATTTGATGCACATCGGTTTTTTGTTTTTTTTTACTATCTCTTTGATTTTATTTTGTTTAGTTTGATTTTCTTCTGTTAGCCCTTCAAGGTAGTCCAGACAAGAAGCACATCAATGAATACTAGCTTTATCTTTATTGTAAGATTACATTAACAGAATCTTGCAAGTCTGAAAGTATTCCTCCCCTCCTTTCCTTTTACTCTCTGGGAAACTAGGGAGGGTCCCTTCTGAAATGCTTCCCATACCCCTGTTTCTATGGACTTTGCACGATGGTTGTCTAGTCTATGGCTCTTCCTCCTGTCTCCCAAGGTCATTCCCACATACAATTACATCTTCTCATTAAAGTTTTATCTTTCAACTATTATAGCTTGTTCCCATAGAAGATTATATAGTCCTGTTCATAACTGCTTAAAAAGTGGTTCCTCAAAGGACAATAGAATCTTTATCTTCTGTTCCTACTTCTGGCTACTTCCTGGAGCATCTCCATGTTCTTTCTACTTCGATGTTAAAGTATTTGAACCACTGACTGCAATTGATCTTTGCTGGTTGACAATGAAAATGTGTTTTTTATTAGTAACTTCTGGCAACAGAGCTGGCGAATTAGCGACATTTTGTGAAGATCTACCTTATACTGTGTTCCACCAGGATAAAGTAGTGCTTGGTCCTCACTTCCAGTTTCTTTGTAAAATTGTCTCTTTTAGTATAAACTAGGAAACCATGTTGCCTGTTTTCCCTTCTCCTGAGTCATCCTCAAAAAATGTCTTCACACTCCTTACACATATAGGAGGCTTTGGCTCTTTTTCCTGGCAGGGCTGGTTTCTTCTGATAAATACGTCTCCTGACTTGTTATGGGCAACTGAAGAGAGGTTTGGTAAGTTTCCTCAGTTAATAGTATGCTGGGTTATGAGTGCTATCATCTTGATCTGCCAATCTGACAACCTTCTACCACTTTAAGTAATGGGGCTCATTTAGTAGGATCTCCACTGACTTCTGCTGTGGCATTTCAGGATGCAGCACTTTTGAGATAATTCTTGTTACAACTTGGACACAGATTTTGACCTATATAAGACACTATTGGCTGGAAACCGAGACTGGTCTGATGCTAGTTGTCAGACTTTCCTTTACACAGCTTAGACAGGAAACAGTTAATTCAAGAAACAACTCTGAAAGATCCTCAGATAAGTGATATTTATTAGGAGGAGGGATATGGTTACAAGACAAGAATTCCAGAGTGCTTTACTTTCTAATGAGGTATCTATATATACACAATTATGATGGCAAAATGCTTGACATTTACTCCTGCTGTTATGGTGGCTGGAAAAAGGGGAGGAGGCCTGTTGCTTTTGTAAAGGAAAGGCAGCCTGCATCTGCTTTTTGTTTTGATGATTACCAGTTTCTCTGTCAGTCTGCAAGCTGATGTTCACACTAGTTTTGGACTGGCAGTGCTGTCATCATTACTCTGCTTGCTCCACCTCCAGTAATTACAGCTTGTTCCTCACCTATACATGAGATGCACATAGATCACAGGAAAAGAACAAGATGCCGTAACTGGTTCTTCAAGTGGTTATTTGTTAATTCACACAAACCTTCCATCTTTTCTGAACACGCAATCTATCCATTATGCTAGTTTCTCTGTTGGTCTCAGGGAACTGAGGTAGACCATTGAGGGAGCCTCAGGCCTGCTAAGATGCAGCTCAGCCTTAGAATCATCCCATATACAGTGGTGCCTTGGGTCACAAACACTTCTGTTCACGACCAATTCGGGTCACAAACAGCTCCGGTTGCAAAATTTTGCCTCCGTTCGTGAACGCTGGATTGGGTCACGAACAGGATCCGCGGCCATTTTCCCTCCAGTGACCCGGTCCGCGGCCATTTTTCCGCCCCTGACACATGGTCCGCGGCCATTTTTCCGCCCCTGACACATGATCTGTGGCCATTTTTCCCCCCCGACACGTGATCCGCGGCCATTTTCCACCCCGACACATGGTCGTAGGGAGGGGGACTCTCCCTCCAAGCAATAGCCACCTCCTTGTCCTCCACGCCAGAACGGATTAACGGTAATTACATTGAACCTTATGGGAAAATTTGCTTCGGGTTGTGATCAATTCGGGTCGCGACCAGAGTCGCGGAGCCAATTAAGTTCGTGAACCGAGGTTCCACTGTAATGGCATGTGGGAATGACCTTAGGACACAGGGCAACAAGACACAACCAAGGGAACAGTCAGATAAAAGGCAGCTTAGCTCACAGCAGGAATGTGGACAGGGCAAGAGGCTCAGAAGAAACCCTCCCTAGTTTTGGGGCTGTAAAGGGAACGGGGGGAGAGAAGTACTTTCAGACTTACAAGATTGGTGTCAGCCTTAGGAGGTAGACTAGACAGGAAGCATGACCAGATGAGCTAATTCTACTTTATTGTAAGGTTACATTAACAGAAGCATGCTGGCTGGGGAATTTTGGGAGTTGAAGTCCACACATCTTAAAGTTGCTGAGTTTGAAAAACACTGTCCTAGATCTTTCTGCAGCTTATAGTATTATTGACCAAGGTCTCTTTCTGGACTGCCTGGCAGGTTTCAGGACTGGGGGCACTTTTTGCAATAGTTCTTTATGTTGGAATGGTTCTAGATCGAGATGGTGTTGCTATTGGACTAGCAACTACTTCACAAATTGGGAGCTGGTATATGGAGTCCCTCAAGGTACCATTTTGCCTCTGATGTTTTTAGCATATACATAAAACCCTTGAGAGAGAGCATCAGGAGATACGTTGATGGCATTCACACCTCTTTCTCTGTGGCAATGTCATCAAGCAATGTTATAGCTCCCCTGAATACTTGCCTACGGGCAGCAATGGGTTGGATGAAAGAAAGTAAACTGAATCAAAAAAGATGGAAGTGCTTGCTGTGAAATGCCATAAATCTAGGTCTATGGTAGATCTGCCTATTATGAATGAGGTCGTACTGATCTTTCCCTTGTCCTTTAATCACTGTTGTGAAAGATCTATGCTGAAAACTGTCCTGCTGCTTTTTATGTTGTGCTCAATAATCAGCATTTGTTTTCAGGCTATTAACCCACTTACACTGCCATTCCTGTTCCTTTTTGCTCCATACTTCCAGATCACTGAATTATATTCGAAGAATGTTTATCTTGATTCTTGTATTATCTTATAGATTCTGCATAAATAGGCATCAGCTAAGGGTGAAGGTCCAGGATATAATCCTAGCTACATGTAGTCCTCTCAGTGGCCTTCAGTACCATCCATCATGATATCCTTCTGGACCGATACTGGGAGCTGGGACTCAGAGGCACTCTTTGGCATAGTTCTGCTCCTTGCTGATTGGACGGTACCTATTGGAGAAGAGAGGTTATCCAGGCAGCTGCTGCTCACTTAAGGGGTGCCACAGAGTTCACCTCTTCCCTCTATTATTTAACATGACTAGTGAAGCTACTGGAAGCCATTTGTCAGTTTGGGATACAATATCATCAGTATACTAGTGACACCCAATAATACATCACACCCAATAATACATCACCATCCTGGGCTGGTGACTCAGGGTCTGGAGGCTGCTCTACAATCAGAATGGGAAGAAACAGCTGGCACTGAATCCTGCAAGTGTGTTGTTTGTTCAGAAAACATCTGGCAATTTGCCTGCTCCAGTGATGACTCTGTACGGGGAGGCAGTTCTCCCAAAGGAGCAATCTGCCACTCAGGGTTCCTCCTGAACAGGCATTTGAGGCTGTGGCCAGGGGGACTTTCCCCCCCAAGTTCAGCTGGTTACTAGCTCTGGCCCTTCTGGAGCATGTTGCCCTGGCAATAGTTATCCGTGCCATGCCTTTACTCCCTCTCAAATCAGCTGCTGCAATGCGCTAGTCCTGGGGCTGCCTTAAAGAATACCCCGAAGCTGGCACGGATGGAGAATGCAGCAGCCTGTCTGCTGGCAGACGAGAGCTGCTGGTGTCATATAAAACCAAGGTTGCAGATGCTACGTGGGCTTTCCGTAGGTTTTTCTGTACTATTCAAAGTGCTACTTGTGACCTATGAAGTTCTTTAGGAGTCCTTAAAGAGAGCCCTTTGCATTGCAAGGACACAATATCTCTTAACACAAAGCAAACAGATTTAGACTATCTAGACTTTCATCTGCGCAAAGTCACAGCTGAATTGTTATGGCGAGAGAAGCCTTTGAATAAAATCTGTTCGTCGGAAAAGGTGCCCCTGGACTTCTGATTCTTTACCACCATCAATTAACACGTCCCTCCTCCTCCTCCTCCTCCTCCTCCTCCTGCTGTCAGGTGGGTTTCGCAGGTCCAGGCCACATTCTAACCACCATACCAACCTGGTTCCCAAAGTACAGTATACTTCATTATTTTAGGAAATACAGGTTTGGCTGAAGCTTAACTTGAAGGCGCCATACACAAAGGAGATTTGTTCAAGCAGTTGGCCTTTAAAAATAAAATCGAATGCAGAGCGATTTCTCTTTATCTGACCCGCTAGCTTACTCAAGGCTCCATCGCGGCTTACGGCCGCTGTTGACGCTCCGCTCCGCTCCGGTAGCGCGTTAAGCGAGGCAAGCCTGCGCTCCGCAGGGCCACCTCCACCTGCCACCGCTCCGCCTCCTCCTCGCCTGCCGAGCGGGGAGGCAGCCGCGCCCCTCCTCCGTCACGTGGGGCATGGAAATGCTCCCGCGGCCGCCCTGCCCCACTTTCTCGACCCCGCCAGACGGCTCCTTCGCCTCCCCTCCGGGCGGCCGGCAGCGCCATGAAGATGCACTTCAGCATCCCCCTCTCCGAAGAGCTGCTGGAGAAGTTTGGCGGCCGCTACGTGGTGAAGTAGCTTCCCTTAGTGGGAGGGAAGGAGGGGTGGATCCCGACACGAGGGGAGGCGAGAAGGGCGAACTAGCCAGGCGGCGCGCCAGCAGTCCAGACCTTGCCAGGTGCCCAAGCGCGAGCCAGACTTTGCGCCTCGGGACGCGCTGGCGATGCCCCCGCGGGGGAACTGCGCCCCCGGCCCCCAGTTGCATCATCCCGCGAGACCCCTGTAGGACAAGAGGGA